AATGGGGGGTCAAAAGCTTTTTGTTGTTATATATCATCTACAAATGTGGGTTTAAGTTTGTAGAATATTTCTACTACCCACCATACAAGATATAGAGAACAATAGCTAACTTTGCATACACAGCTGGAAAGCTATTCTTCTTTAAGCTATACACAGTACCATACCACCCTGGACACAGAACCATAGGATACCTCTTATATTATGTTACCCATTTTGTATCAACTTAAGTTTTTAACCACTAGAACAGTATTGTTAAAGTGTTTCTGCAATAAAATTAAATATTTGAAAGATATTTTTCACTTCTTTTAACCAAGCTACTTTGAAAGTCCTAGGAAGGAGGGGGGCTAGCTATTTTTGCAATTACAACCAGAGGGGTCATGACATTTTTAATTTTTTATAGAGCAGGGTCAGGATATTTTGTTTAGTCTCACTGAAAATCTGGCCAGCCCACCCCCTTCCATAAATAATGAATGCTCCCTAACCACTCTGCCACACTGCCTCCATAAAATGCCACAATCTGCACAACAAGGTCAGGGTTTGAAGGGCTCAACTTTCCCTGGGTGCCCCCTTAAAAATACATTTTGCTATTTATAATTCTCTCCCACCTCATCTTCGTCTTTTCCATTTAATGGAAAGGCTGCTTTTACAAGGTGGATATCAACTCCATAATCTGTCATTTCCTATAACAAAAGGAAAAATATTTTAGATTGCCCTCTAAAAATTATCCCCATTTCCTATACATGGCCCAATTGTCAAACTATACAGGCAGGTACAACATAATCAGGGCTGTGGACTAACAGCACCTGGTGGCCCCTAGTGCCTTACTTTTGCTCTTGGGCGACTTAGGAATTTTAGTTTTTTCATAAAAAGCATCTACTGAGCACCCTGGATTTCAAAGTTTCAGAGCACTGGGCTCCCTTCAATTTTCTTAGAGCACAGCCTTGATAATGGATTTTGGACTGGACTCTAGAATAAGAGGTCCTGGTTCATTTACTAGTTGTACACTTGGGCAGGACACTATTCTGTAAGTTCCTGTCTCTACCAAAACATACAAATGGGTACCACAAAACTGATGGAGAAAACAGCAAAAAATCAGTTATCTGTGACCTGTTTCTCAGAGGACTAGATAATTCAACAGACCTGTAAAGCTCGTCTGTTTTCATTCAAGATGAGGGTTTCAAAAAGTTTTCTGAACTATACAACAAAACTATCAGCTAAAGAAACAAAATCAACTGGTTTTTCGTTAACTTTTGCTTTTAAAATTTGGCTTCAGGCTCATTAAGTTTCCAAGACTTTCGAGAAATAGGGCTCATAGGGTACCATACAATTCAAGAGGAATGGCTCAACAACTAGTTGCTTCTGAAAAACTGGGGCAAGTTGTCACAGCACTGGATCACTTAAGCTTACAAGACTATGTACTGTCAGTGGTTCAATGGTCCAATGGCACTTGAAACAGCTTAAATTAGAACAGTTAGTAAAAAGCCCATTTAATAATTTTTCAGAGATCCTGGCACTCAAATCCTACTGGTTTGTGCTGCATCCTTAGTACACTCACACAAGTGTATGTAACAGCTATAATAAGCTGTCCTCTCGGTACTTACAAGGTGTCTTATGTCGTCAGTAACTTCCTCTGACTCCTGTGCTGAATCAATAGTTGTTACTTCATGGTGAGGAAACTGCTTTCCCATGCCATATCCTGAATATGAAAACAAAAATAGTTAAAAAAGGATAATTTCTCATTGGTTGTGAGACCTCTCTCACAATATCATGCTTCTAAGATTTTTTTCCAACCATTTCTCAGTATGTTGACAGAAATAAGTTAGCTTTGGGTTTCTTTCAGGACTGGTGAAAGTAGTGGATATTTAATTTACCTCACTTTGGGGAACAACTGTTCAGTGATGAAGATTGAAGAACTGTTTGTCTCTGTACAGTCATAATTCCTATTTTTTTTTTCTATCAAAACATTTTTTTTTATTTTGTGGGTCACATGAAAACTTCTGGATGACCCCTTTTAACAATTTTGTTTTTCAACTACCAAACTTATTCATTTGGACCTTTCAGCTTCTCTTCGTGTAAAGGGCTGATGCTCAAAACATGAGCATTAGAAACTCTTTATAGTGGCCAACTTAAATCATCAATTCATAATACCAAATGAACTGATAATGTTGAATTCGTCTTGATATGAAACCAAATTCTCGAAACAAAAAGGAAATACCAGTTATTAGCCAAGGATACTTTTGACAAATAATCTCCTTAACTTGATCATGTTGTAAGAGTGCTGACAGTAAACTTCAGTGGTACAGAATGAGATATACCTCAAGTTCTTTAGTTCAGAACAATAAGCTACCACGTTAAATTAAAGAGTTAACCAAGTGGAAAAGTTTGCATTGAAAATTGTTTTGTTGTCAATTTTGAAATCAATCTTAAGATCACTTAAAATAAGAACTATGAAAATTGAGTGATAAAATTTCATGTGTAACCACGGAAGACAAGTGTGCAGTATCGACAATATTATTATCCATTCGACTTACGAAGTCCAGCCTTGATTTTCCGAAGCATAAAAGTAGTTCTTTCCCCCCACGGAGAAGTAATTAGCCGTACGTAGGCTTTCACACTGATTTACGAATGACGAATTAAATTCAAACAGAAGTCAAGGTTTTATATAGCTTGTGACAAAAATGAAATACTGAATTAAGTGTGTTAGGAGGGTTCAGTCTTGAACTGAAATTTACTTTCCATTCACGTATGGGAATTAATATGTATATGAAATTCAAAACTTCGTTTGTCGCATAAAAAAGCGTAATCACCAAATACGGATTTTCCTTACATATCACTTCACTTCCTTTAGGAAAATCCTCATTTCCTTTAGGAAATTTGACAAATTCACGATCGTTCGATGTAAAAAGCAATGAATATCTTGCTATCATGCTTAGAAATTGTTTCACGCCTCCATCGTATCACGTAATTCGAAACAAGTTACCTTTTAATTAATACGATCTGTAAAAGTAACTTTTCGTCATGGTCAACCCTACATTTCTTCTTCCTGTTACAAAATCGTGACAAGCCTGTTGTTTGCCAGTGGAACAAAAACTCGGCTGTAAATACAATAACTGAGTACTAAAAGATCGCTTCAATTCAAATACCGAAAGGCAAGCACATCATACCACTTATTGTCATAATCTATAACAGTAAAACCCAAGCTTTGGCGCTAAACAACAGCAAACTAGTCTTGCTTATACCTACCTGAGAGAAATTCGCAAACAACCACAACAGATCAAATTGATTCAAAAGTTTGAGCGCACGAGGCGGTCAAAGAACCCCTAGCCTTCACACAACAACAAACAGGAACCAATCTTGATAAACACGCTCTGGGAGTTGGTTGCACTTAACTATCAGTTTCGATTCAGAATTTGCGCTGAGAGCTGAACACTAATGTCACGATCGAGCGCTTTGTTCGTACATAGCACATGACAATCAATCAATAAAAGTTGACAGAAAAATATATTTAGCCCAAGGGAGAGTCTGAGTAAGAAAGAAAAAATAACTTTTAAGTTCACATACCGTTGGCGACATATTCAAGGCAGTCAAGAGTCCGTAGAACACGAAGGAAGCCTTCTTCAGAGTCGAGATCGTTCGGAGTGAAAATCTATCCACACAAAAACATGGCGTATGTTAATTTCGACTTGTTGAGCGTGCTCAGATAGAGCATGAAATTTTAATATCGGAACGCTGATGTTTATTTAAAACGGTCATAATGTGAGAAAATTATTCATTTTCGGTATCAAACCTCGTCGTCTTTCAGTTGCAGGTCTTGGCAGGCGATCAGAAATGAGCTAAAGTTCTCCAAGCGCTCCGCTTCGGAAAGTGGTTCCTGATGGATCTATGACAAGAGCGAACAGCGGACAAAATGTGTAATGGACCACGCTCATTTACATGACAAAATACCGAAACAGATCTCCTTGTTGTTGATAAATAGTCCCACTCTCACCTTGTTTACTGTCCCTGGTTTCAACCGATTCACCAAACGGCAGAGTATCGAGCCGTCTTTCAAAATATCCCGCAGATAGCTGTCAGACTCATGATCAGAAGCCGTTTGCCGCTGTTCCAGAAGACCCAAAGCGACGAACCAGCTCTCGATTTCGCGCGGTTTAAGCCGCATTTTTTTTAATTTCGCCGATCAGTGGTTCGAAATCTGCACTGTCGGCGATTACAACGCTAAGAGAAATAAACCCTCACCCACTGAGCCTGAGGTGTTTTGAATTCCTCTCACCAGAAGGGTGTAACGACACACCTCGCTAATAATTATGCTATCCGAGATGAAGAAACAGACATCATTCAGGTTACGCGCCAAATCGTTCTCCAAAATTGGTTGCTCAAATATAATGCTTGGGACGAAAACATCTGCAGATTTTAATTGTTTTAACAATAAAAGAACACTTTTTATAACGATGACTTCTCCGTCTTCAGCAACTCATGGAATCGGAGATTACAAACTCAGGAAGGTTTTACGCGCGGGAAGTTTTAAAACCGCGATTTCCGGTTCGTGACAAATGTCAAGTAAGAAATCTTCTTTGTGCACGGAACATACGGAAAGCTTCGCCCTGACTCTTCCAACTGTAAGACCTTTGACTTGCATAATACAGCATGTCCATATTTTACCTAGAAATGACAGATCACCAAATTCGTGCTAAACCAGGAAAACAGATCATATTCAGATTCTTCTTGCGTTTGATAATTCCGCAAAGAAATTGACTCGTCCCCAGTCGTTTCGTACTTATAGTACGGCGCTGTGTGGTCGAGGACGATGGGAAAGAAGATAGAGTGGAGAGACCACTTTCCAATTTACCCCTACTGTCATTCTTTTTGTACACTTCCTTTGGTGATGTTTGAAAGTAAAGCGATGACCGCCAACGGGTCATAGAGTGAACTTCCTCTTTGAAGGGAAGGGGGGAGGGGAGGGGGCTATCAGCGCATGGATAAGCTATACTGTCTATGCCTGAGATGGGGAAGGGTTACAAACAAATATAAAATTGGACAGGCTTACGATTAGTTTGCATACGGGTCATCCTCGGTGTAAAAACCTGACGAGGTTTTCTTTATTTCATGAGGTATTGTTTTGCCGTACGCTATTGTTTATGTTTTGTTGTCTTTGTTTTGCGTCACTCGTGAGCTCGAGCTTCACAGGTTTTTATACCGAGGATGAGCCTTGCATTCTGAGTACGATATTATGGTTCAGTGGAACATTTGCAAAAAACAGAAAAAGTCACTGAAGTGAAAGTCCCATTACTCAACCCACCAAACTAAAACAACGTGTAATGCATGTTTATTCGTTCACCACTTCTGTCACTTAACACATTTCCTATCTTTATTTCCAAGGATGGAAAAGGACAAATTAAATTTTACAAAAAATTTCCTAAAAAGTTATCTTTAACATGTGTACTTAAACCTACCTCAAATGGTTCCAATATACTCTTTTCCAAAATGGCAAAAGAAATGTAAAATTCATCACACGGGTGATTTACTACCACAAGCATTAAAATGTTGGTAATTTTATTCAATAGGGATAAATATTTCTTTGGATGAGATAATATACCTGGCTATCTATATGGAACTTTGGTCTATTATTAAAAACAAAGTGCTTATCTCGGTGTATTAATTTCCTGTATAGTTAAAAGAAATCTTGTGTTTTTCATTTTGATCTGCCATTTTGGAGTAGAGTATAGCATACCAAATTTTTCCAACTAAATGTTAGTAGTTAGTATTTCAATACAAGAACCTTGGGCAAATGAAGCTCTTGTTGAAACTGGCAACAGACCTATCTGCCTCTGACTGGTGTATTGTTTTACTTTTGCATTTACAGCCATCACTGATACTTGTCAAACAATGCTGATCCAAACATGACAGTGACAACTCAAGTGATAGTTGTAACAAATGAAGTATTACTCGGCATTAACTACAGTTAATACTTTATAACTACATCCTTTAAAAGATTAATTACTCCTTCATATATCTATCCTATTGCCTGGTTGTGACAAGCTTTCAGTGTATTGCTTCAAACTACCATCATTCTTTAACGCAAAGTGAATATTGTCAAACCAATCATCCCTAAAGATGAAGCTGAAAAGATTATGCACCAACATTGACTAAACCTGCGTAGAATTACTCTTTCAGTAAAATTTACTAGATCCATGTTATGCTGTTACCAACAGGTTCCAGATAATTTTCAAAGATTTGCAGGGTCCAACTACAGCACTTATGGTATTCTTTTTACTACTACCTCATTATCACCATTTTAATTTTTTGCCTACTGATGTCTCTAGTTTTGAGCTCCTTTCTCCACATGGAATGATGGGAACTGATTATGTGCTGGGGATGGAAATGATGAGGGTGTGGGCGGTGATGGCCAAAGACTGAAGGAAGGGTGGGGGGGACTTCCTAGGGGGAGTTCATTTTGCATATCATAGTTGCATTGCTGGCATTTTGCAAAGTAAAGCCCACATTAATGGCTTCCTGAAATCAATTTTGCTTCATTTTCAATTTGTCATGAGGGTTAATTAAATGTCTCCAAAAGTCTGTTCTGTTCTCTCATTATAGAGATCACACCATATGTTCCATAATAAAATTTTTCACAGTTTACAACAAAAAGTTAACAATACAATCTACGACAGAAATTACTTCAACCCAGAAGTCGCCATTTATCTTTCCTTTTTTAGCAATTCCACTGTTCCATTTGATCCATCCTTTGTAGCCAGGACCAATAAGGAATTATTTTCAATTACATTGTGACCTGATTCAGCAAGCTTTCTACATAAATGGATTTGTAGACTGTCCTTGTCTTTGCATGCCTTGTTGTGCTCCAGCATTCTGAAATTCAAATAATGTCAGTAACTTAAAGTAAGATGTTATTACCAGTTGTGTTATCACGAGGGTGGGACAAATATAAGATATAAAACAATTTCCTTTGGCTTCTGGGAGAAAATACTCCCATATGGAGGCAATACTGAGTATGATGGTCTTAACTAAAGTACAAATTTAAATTACATCAATCTATGAGGCCCTGATAGGGTAAATTCCGACGGGTGACATGGCGTTGAAACAACGACATCAGGGAAATGAAAATGCGACTTCGAGCACAACATTGCTGAAATTGCGACAGTGACATCAGAACCTTCTGAAATGGTAACATGACAAAGTTTGAAATTCAGACAGGCAACATCTATACCCCCCCCAACAGGGGCTCATCTATAGCATGGTATTATTCTGTAAAAAGGAAGAGAAGTGAGAGGTTGAGAAAGATCATTCTTGGAGTAACAATACAATACAATACTTAGTTCTTATTAACCGAGCGGGAGGTCTGTATGAGAGAATCTTGACCGAGGTCAAGATTCCCCCATACAAACCGACCTAAATTGGTTAATAAGATGTTTATTATATGGCTGTGTCTTATATGCCAATTTTTTATATTCTTTGTACTTTTTTTTTCTAGACCAGTCTAGATGCTGGTCTGGATGGGAAAATCTAGACCGCTTTCAATACTGATTTCAGCCAATCAAATTTTTGAATTCGGTAGTTCCCAGTCCTTGTGAGACACAGCCATATAATAAATAGCTTATAGTGCAATGCTTCTCAAAGATCCAGTGGCACTTTACAATGACAGGGATAGAAAAATATAATCAATTAACTCATTGACACTTACGTGTAACACGTACCAACGAAAAGTCAAAATTTTGGAGAAACCAAGAAAGCAAACACAGTGCGCAGTAAATTTTTAAAAATCAGCTTTTCCAAAAAACAAGCTCCAGTGAAAGAGTACTAATTAATTAAAGAACTTATTTCCGGCGAAAAAAGCAATAGGTGCATATTACGTTTTAACTCAAAAATCAAGATGAAAGATAAAAGTCGCTAAATATTTTCACATGTGTGAAAATGGGCATGTGGATCATATTTCAAAAGGGAATATGCAATTTTGTCCATGAGTGAAGAGATCTCAAATTCCATGGAATGTATCAATAGGAAGCAAGACTAAAATGGCCAAGAAATATTTCGGGACGTCAGATTTATTCAAAACAGTGTTTGATTTGCTGTTATAAGCGAAAAACATACGAATTTCTTACATGTACAAAGCCCACGCGGTAAAATTCATCATGCTTAGATCATTGTTTACTTGCCTTCATGGCCAG